TGTTGACTTTGTTTCCACCAGCTCAGACACACAACGTGGAAATAATGTTAATTTTAAAATAAACCTAGGCTTAGAGTTAATAAATGCAATTCATTCCACATTAAGATAAGAAAGTTTGGCATTAATTTTGTAACCATCAAAATTGTTTTTATTTGTTTTATTAAAATTAACCAGGGAACGCAAGTAAATCTTTACGTTTTTGTAGAAAGATATTTAAGTGGGTAGAAGAAAAAAGTGTATTTTTTATTTGCTTGTTCGAGGTAGCGCTGAGTGACGGATCCTGGAGAGCATTTTATCCATCGCCAGGTGCAAAGGGGGAGCCAGAGGGGGGCCAATGGTGGCCTTGGTCATAATAGATTAATCTTCAGCCACCTCAAATAATTTGAAAAAATACCGTATTTTTCGGCTTATAAGTCGCAATTTTTTTGCATAGTTTACATGCCCTGCGACTTATACACCAACACGTCGTATTTATGTTTATTTTCCCATATTTATAAACCAATTTTTGACTGAAATATGACCGTTTTTATTCGTCCTGACAGTGAAAACAATACCATTTACAGCCGCTAGATGGCGCTCGAGTAGTATGGCATGCCGTTGTGTCATGTAATAGGTAAAAAGTGGCTATTACATGACACAATGGCATGCCATAACCTGCCACCTTCGTCCAGCTCCGGGATCATGTCTGGCGCAACCGTGAAATCAACTTCATTTCGCTGCGCTGTCCCAGTGAAATGCAGCTAATTTGGCCATTGAAGTGCATTTATTAAGTAAAAGATCAACTGAGACACACCTTCACTATAAAGTCGAGCAAAGAATTTTTTTCTTTAGGTGGTTAGCTTGTTATATTTCGAAGAAATGCACAGCGAGTCGTCCCTCTGTGGCCCTCTCGGCTTTGGAAATGCAGCCGATTTGATCGTCAAAGTGCATTTATTAAGGAAAAGGTAGAATGAGACGCACCTTTACTATAATTTAGAGCAAACACAATCGTTTTTAAGTGTTAATCTCTTTAAATTCTTGTTAAAGTCCTCCCGTGCACATTCCCGTGGCCACCATTTGGCAGCCAATTGATCTTTTGGCACAACACCGGCCCACGTTTCTGGGTTCTCAGGGTGACGCGTAATAGACGCAACGTATTTATGTTTTTTCTCCACTTCATTAGACATATTTGGACTGATGCGACTTATAAGGCAAAAAATGAGGTATTACTCTTGAGCAATATAAAAACTAAAAGCATAGCTTCGTCAAATGATCGGGGTGGCTAGTTTAGTTTACATATACGTGCACAAACACATGGTGGTGGCCATCTTAGATTTTGATATGACAACCTAAGTTTTGGACCTTTTTTTACGGTTGGCTGGAGCCACACAACAAAATGGAAGTCAGCATGCTGCTTATTTTTTAAGTATACAGCTCACAAGTTAACATCTATACCAGTACATATACGGTGGCAGCCATCTTGGATTATCACGTAGCAATTCAATTTTCGAAAGGCACCTTCTTACCATAGATGTAGCCACACACCGAAATGGAAGTTGGTAACTCACTTATTATTATTTTTTTTAAGTTATAGTGCTCACAACAAGCATGGATGGACGGAGTAATTTCATCTCTTTGCTCTGCGACGGGGGACACGAAGAACACGAAACAGACGACGGTCCTAAGTCATAAAAAGACAGCCCTCACTAGAACTTTCTCTGCTTTTAAACTGCTTGTTCTGACACTCGTTGAGTTACATTAATTAGCCCTGCATAAATAAAAGTGAGAAGCACCAATCGATGTGATTTGGTCTTACGATTGTAGTAACCGGCATGTGGATAGAATATAAATATTGAAAAAAATTATAATAATAATAATCAGATGACTGAAAAACCTGAAGAGTGTTTACGTCTAAAGCGCCCATTCCCAATCAGAATGTATCCCAAGTTCAAACTGTTGCTCTTTAAAAGCAGAACCTCCTGCCACATGTCTGCAAGCCATAACTAGCTGTAGACTCAGCTGGTGCTCCATGCAACAGATTACAATGAATACGATCTCACCAGCAGCTGAGACCACCAAGATCAGAGCATGATCCATCAGAGTCCCTTCACCCGTGACAGATCTGAACTCGAGCTTCTGCAGAAAACCGTCAGCAGACAGAAAAGGGGACGCAAACAAGCCTCATATGTGGCTCTTGGTGCATCACACCATAAAGATTGTAACAGTGAGATTTCAGGCTTGTTCACTTGTTCATGATGGGAAGAGATCCAAACACACACACACCTCAGCAAAAAAATTAGTGCAGCCCTCACATTTCTGGGCAACAAGCGTCTTAGCAGCTGCCAGGCTAACAGAGCGGGTGCTGCTGCTGAGTCCAAGTGATGATCAGAGAGTGAGGGAGCCGACTGCAGAGCTGGCAGGCTGCGCTGCTGGCAGCCGCTGCTGGTAATCATGCTTTGATCGGGACTGAGAGTGAGGCCTCCGAGGCATGAGAGGGTCAGGCTGTGGCAACACTGTCGATCACGCACACACACGGTCCTCTGACACCTCCAGGTTTGCAGCCCCGCCCCTCATCCACACATCAAAGTATGATCTCTCTGCCGCCAAAACGTTGCTTCGCCCAGGAGCTCCTGCCACGCCTTGCAGCCGCCGCCGGGATCAAACCTGCTCTCGTTGCGCTCGGCACTGTGACGCGGCGGTATTTTGAAGAATAAAAAAATAAGAGAGACTTTGTTGTCTGTGCTGTGGGACAGCAATCATTAGCATGTTTCATCACGACAGGCTGACACAAACTGAAACGTGCACATTTTCAAACCTTTGGAGGAACGCTTTTAGCTAAGAGCTCACTTTAGCGTGCGCTAAACTGCAGCGCCCACACGTCACCTGTCAAACTCACAACGAGGGAGGTTTTTGTGCTTTCACATTTTTCTGGTAATGCTCTGAACGTTTGCTTGTTTTACGTTTTTTTTAAAAGCAGTTCTGATTTAAATCACGTAACTTTTTCCTCAACTAAAAGCATGAAACTTGACTTTTATAAATGCATTTGGGAGTATCTTGATAAACTCGTTTGCACACGACCTAAAAGGTGGACGATTATGTGTCTGCGTGTGCATGTGTGTTAGCAAAATATCTTATGAAACCTCAAAGTAATCAACGGATCTACATCTACAAATTATTAAGAAGTCAACCCAATTCAAGATGGCTAATCAACGATAGAAAACACAGAAATAGTCGTGACACAATACAACAATTTTCTGCAGAATCAATAAAGTTCTATCTTATCTTATAGCCTACAATTGTTGTGGTAGTAGCTGAGAGTCATCCTCAACGTGTACTTCCAGTGCTACAAACTGCACAAGATTTTTGTTGAAAACCTTTTTATGCGAGGCAGCAGGTGACGTCAAGGAATGACAATTTTATTCCTAACATATGATGTCTTAATATAAAATATAAAACACACATACAAAAAAAAAAACCCCAACAACTTGGGAACAATTGCTGCTTATTAATAAAATACTTTATATCTGATAAAAGCCATGCTGACAAAACAAAAAAAGAAGATAAAACAATCATGGCTGCAAAGAAAGAAGAAGGTGGGGGGAAATAATCCACAAAAGTAATCTTGGAGTATAATTAGTACTTTTGTCCTGTTGATCCCCCCCCCCCTCACAGAAAACACTTGCAGTTCTTAATTGGCTCTCGCTGACGTGGTGGCGTGACAAAAATCCCAACATCATCTTTTCAGAATACAGTAATCCCTCGCTACTTCACAGTTTGACTTTCCCGGACTTACTGTTTCGCGGGTTTTCAACGTAAGATAGTACACGACACACGATTGGCTGATTGATGGAAGGGGACCAACCAGAGCATTGTGCTGAGGGGCGGATTGGCCATCGGGAGCACCACGACATTTCTCGGTGACCTGGCCCACTCAGTGATTGGCAAGGGGCTGGACTCTCTGCAATGTTGTGACAGACGGCCTCAGAAAGAGAAAGGAGGGGGCGGGTCTATCTTTCCCCATCACTACTACTCAGGGAGCTTCAGTGAGGCATACGTGAGTGAGTGGCATGGATTGTTTATTAAAAAAAAAACAATTGCGACCCGAACCGAGCCTTTGGTCCAGCCCATAGGTGATCACTGAGCGGGCCAGGCCACCGGGAAATGCTCCAGTGCTCCTGATGGCCAGTTCGCCCCCAGGCGCTGATTGGCTCAGTAACCGTAGCTCCAGGGAAGGATTTATAAAGCCTTAAAATATAAATACTAAAATAAAAATAACGTCCTTACTTTGTGGATTTTCACTTATAGCTTTGGTGTCTGGAATGTTACGCAATAAGTGAGGGGACTGCTGTACATTTGTTTGCCTCTTCTCGACACAAGGCCTGGGCCGAACGTTTTCTCAAAAGGAGAGCGCTCAAAGTGTTGATTGATTGGTCAGAAGTTTGTGGGGTTGTTTGTTAACGCTGAAACGTGGTCAGACGTTCATCTGCATGACTCTTCAAGACAAGAAGACGGTGAAAAAGCGCAACACTCCTCTAGGATGGAAAGTGTGCAGACATTCCACACGAAGGAGTCCATCTGCTGAGAACCGAGGCACTCTTCAAGATAGATTAGAGGTCAAACGTCGGATGCAGGGATGGAGCGGAGACCGTGGCAGGAAGAAACCCGTGTGGTGACGTATACCGCAGCGGGAGGGGTTTCTCATGAACTCTGTGTCTCGTCGACTATGAAATCTGTGTGTGAAAATTAACTTCCTGCAACCGCGAGTCGACTGTTCAGCTTCGGATGGAGTATGCCGGCCCCTTAAGCCTATCTAACCGCCCCCCCCTGGCATTATGGAACAACTGATTGCAGTGGATGATGATCATTGATCAGTTAGATCTCAGTTAGATTCTGAAAGCTAATAATAGTTTGAATCCTCGTTCAGACAAGTTCAATACTCCTGTGGCTCTACAGAAAGCAGCAGATTTGATTTGTGTTAAAAAATGTTTTCTTGTTCTATCAACAATGAGATGCTGTTTTACCTGAACATGTCCCCGAGTCCCTTCAGCATGCCTTTCTTGGGTTTTCCCTTCTCCTTTTCCTTCCCTCCTTCCTGCTTCTTCTTCTCCTTCTTCTTCTCTTCCTTTGAGCGGTTGGTGCCGTTGACCAGGGGGTTTTCTGGGCCGGACAGCGGCGTTTGGTCGGCCACGGTGGACACAGACTCTCTGCCTGATCGTGAACTCTCCTCCGTGTCTTCCTCCACTGAAGAGACAGTTTTAAAGATGCCAAAGCAGAGAAAGAATGGGAAAGAAATTGTTATTTTAACCAATAGAAATGTGATTTTTCAGACACATTATAGCACATATGAACAGAAGAAACCCTAATAAACATTAATCTATGTCATGTCTCTAAACTACAAGAGCCTGGGATGGTTTATTAGTCTGAGAAGTGTGAGAAGAACTTTGCTTTGTAAGGAGACAGAAACCTTTAGCAACCAATTTACACAGACTTAATTGATAAATAACACACTATTTAATATTTTATTGTGGCTCTAAAAGTGTTAGCCAATCAAAACAGCTGAAAAGTGCTGGAATCTGAGCACTTTAATGTAACAACCATCTGTGGTATTATGTCGATTTATCATTGCTCATTGCATTGTGCTTCAGTCCTGCAGAATTAATGAAAAGTAATGCTTTCATAAGCTTTTCCTAAACCAAACGGCTAAAATAAACGTTTATTTCTTGGTGTAATATTTGTGCATCACAGCGCAGCTTGGTATGTGATGACCCCGGCTAACAGAGGAATGTCTTTAATATCTGACGCAGCTGAGGTTACGCCCGGACTCGTCACACGGCCATCGCCACAAGCGCTGATCGAACCAGCTGCTGGATGTGAAGCTTTAGTCAGGATGCTGTCACGCTCATGCACATGAAGATCGGAGGAGAGTTTTAGTGGCTGACACCTGATAGTAGCTTTGTTAGAGTTGGGATCATTTAGCAAACAATAATGCAACGTCATTGAGGTCAATCATGCATTCAGAGACTTCAAACCCGTTTTCAGGCCGAAATGACCTGCTGCGGTTCACTGATGTGCCTCTTGACCAAATGGATCTCCACTCGAACGTGGCTCCAACAAACCTGCACCGGTTTCACGTTTCTACTGAATATTCTGACATCTTACACGTCTCCATGCCCTCGTCGTCTTCCTCCATGGCAGCCGGTCGGTCATACGATTTGTCGATGGCTGCTCTGAAGCTCTCGTTGCAGCCACGCCCCCTGATGATGCGTGGGCGGGGCCTGTGAAACGGGAGGTCACCGTTGAGGGTGACCTCTGCAACAGCTGTCTGGAGGCTCTCCAGGGAGCTGGACTTCTTTAGACCCAGAGATGGTCCCACATCCTTTGTGGAGGAACCTGAAGGGGTCAAACAGAATAAAGGTTAGTCATTAATGAACAAAATAATCCGACAAATTCAAATTATCAGGCAGATTTAATTAGAAATCTTAATTTTTGTTTAACCTTAGTATTGTTTAACTTTTACCAAGGCGCCTTTATATGAAAATGAACATTAGTTAAATTTTTCTTTGCAACTTTCTTGTGAAAATGTGCAATAAAAATGTGGTTAATGTCTACATTTGATCTTTAAACAGGGCGAACTGAGTGGACGGCGCGGCTGAAAATGAGGTTGAGGTTCGTCTAAAATGAGGTAGAAGCAACAAATGCTGAGAAACGAGCGACAAAATGCTCAACTTTTAGAAAAGAAAACAGCGAGAGAATTTTAAAACGCCAAGCTTAATCTAAATACGGCTATTTATTTTTATGAAATGAAAAAATAATACATTTAAAATAATTCATTTTTTTTGCTTTTTGTCTGTTTCAAAGGTCTGCTGCTACAAAGCCTCTTAACAAAAACTGGATACATCCACACCCGATTCATTTTTGGAGTTGACCTGATTAAAATTAGCTGCCGCAGCTAATCAGCGTTAGCAAACATAAGAAGACTACAGTTCAGCCAGTTTTAGAAATACTTAACTAAACTGTTGCGTGGTAGTAGCTGAGAATAATCTCCAGCACAGACTCTAAGCTGTAACGGATTGTAGTTAATCTTTGATTAAATTTTGACGTGCAAGAGGTGGGTGACAAGTATGGCAACTTTATTTATACGTGGAATTTATTTGAATTTGGACTGTCAGCCTGCTATATATTTACAATTTCCTAGTATTAAAATATTTACACCACAAATACAGCTCTGGAAAAGAGAGTTAACGCTCTTTGTAAATAAATGAGCTGCAACACGACTTTACTGATCACTCAAAAGGTTTTCTCCTATTTAAGATTTTCCACCAACGAGTCAAAAGCCACAAAACCCTACATAATCTGATTCTAATTATTACTAATTATTAATATGATTCAATTTGGCGTTTCTCTCACCGGGTACGATGATTTAAAGATTAGATGGCAAAAGTTACAAGAAATTATTCCTTATGGAGGATTTCATTAGAAAACAAAAAGACTTCAAGCACAAATGTTTAAAATATTGACATATTTTCCTGTCGCCTGTTGTTCTGTTACTGTGGGAGTTCTGCTCTGCCAGCTCCCTGCAGCCACAGCTAACTCGAACCAGCAGCGCCTGAGGATCATCGTCTTGTTGAACAAGAGGAGCATAAAAGGCTGCAGAGGACATCCAGTCAGCGCTGGAGCATTACCTGCCAAATGTAAGCAATCCCTGATGTCCTCCTCTGTGGACCTCGAGCTCTCCTGTGCCTCCACACCTTCCTACCACTTGTCTATCTCTTGCCATCGTTCAGACGAGCACCTTCTTCTCCTGGAACCATTTGAGTCAATTCTCCCCACTCCTACCTCTAATGTAAGAAAGAGCAGCAACAACATTATCGCCCCTGCTGACAGACCACTAACTATCTCCTTGTTCGTCAGGGTTCCAGCTCCCTCTTGGCCTCACTGAATGATTTATGTAAATAAACTCTAAATACATTTTGAGTCTGGTATCTGTTCTCCTCGGTCCTTGTATCTGGATATAGCCACAAATGTTACAGTACTGTATTTTTCGCCGTACACGTCGCATCGCCCTATAAGTCGCATCAGTCCAAATATGTCTAATAAAGTGGAAAAAAAAAACAAATACGTATGTTGATTCACCATATACGTCGCATCTATTATGCATCACCGTTGACAACCTGGAAATGTGGGCCGGTGTGCCAAAAATCGATTGGCTGCCAAATGGCGGCAACGGGAGCGTGTACGGGAGGACTTTAACAAGATTAACACTTAAAAACAATTATTTGTTTGCTCGACATTACAGCAAAGGTGTGTCTCAGTCTAACTTTTCCTTAATAAATGCACTTTAATGGTCAAATCAGCTGCGTTTCAAAAGACAATTTGCAGAAGCGAGCTCATGTAGAGGGACGATTCACTGTGCTTTTCTTCGAAATGTAACAAGATAAGTACCTAAAGATAATTATTTCTTTGCTTGATTTTATAGTAAAGGTATGTTTCAGACAGAACTTTTACTTAATAAAAGGACTTTAACAGTCAAATCAACTGTATTTCAGAAGTATTTAAAGCCTCGGTGCTCCGGGAGTGCGCAGAGGGAGGAAATCAGGAAGGAGGAACGCTGTGCATTTTTTTCAAAATTTAACAAGATAAGCATCTAAAACAATTATTTGTTTGCTCGACATTATATCAAAGGTGCGTCTCAGTTGAACTTTTACTTAATAAATGTACTTCAATGGTCAAACTAGTTGCATTTCACCGGGGTGGCGCAGCAAAATTAAGCTGATTTGACGGTTGCTCCAGGCGAGCTGGATGAAGGTGGCAGGCCAATTGAGTCATTAATAGCCACTTTTACCTATTACATGACACAACGGCATGCCATACTACTCGAGTGCCATCTAGCGGCTGAAAATGGTAGTGTTCAATGTTTTCAGTCTGAATGAATGAAAAGGGTCATATCTCAGCCAAAATTTGGTTTATAAATATGGGGAAAAAAAACAAAAATAAGTCGCTTTGGTGTATAAGTCGCAGGGCATGTAAATTATATAAAAAAATGACTTATAGGCTGAAAAATATGGTAATATAATTTAGTGTGCCAGTCCGTTTTTTTTTTTTAATTTACTGTTTATATATACAAGTTGTCTCATTGAGTCACGAGGACTAATTTTCCAGAGAGACCTGTTTTTGGTTAGTGTGCTAGTTAAGTGTTTTATTGCTGTCTGTTGTGTAGTGTGGCAGGAAAGTGGCAGAAGTTCGTCTGCAGCAGCAGCTCAGTCATAACTTTGTCCGTGAAGGTTATTTTACAGCGCGGCTGTTTATTGTCAACATGTCTGAACTCTACGGAAACCGCAGACCTTAAGAAACGGGGACATAAAATTCTCATTATTGGCCCCACTGCTGCTGAGGAAAGACCGCACAAAGAAAACACCTGGTACACCTGAGCACGAGCCCCCTCCTGAGGGACGATAAGCTCTGACACCAACACGCTGTGATCAAGCCTGGGTATCGTTTCCTAATCGATCGTGTGTTCTCGTGCGTCGCTCCTCCTGACTCGACTGCAAATCTCATTACGAGACGAGGCCGTAAATTAAAATAACCATCAGCAGAATTGGAGAAACATGACAGATTAATTAAACTAAGACAATTCCAATGGTTGTGCAGGCATAATTCTTTACTCCCACATGGCATCTTTCACAAGACGTGGTGAGGATGATAACTGGAGAGGTGAGACGGGATGGAGGTAAACCTAAAGTCTCCTGGGTGGTTTCACTTTGGAGCCGCCATGGCACAAGGCTGCAAGACCGGGCCGACCCAGCGCGATGTGGGACGAGAGAGATGAACTTTAATGACTTTAGGAGGAATACATGTTGAAATACGGAACGTACAAACTTAATCTTTCCGTTAAAAGAACATTAAAAGCAGCGCTGTCTAAAACAAACATGTCTTGTAAATGAGTCCTCGAGGCTCACTGAGACTAACCTGTATGAATAAAACGTTGAATTGAATGTTTGTACAGTGCTGTGCAAAAGTTAGAAATCCCAGCTAATCAATTTATATGTTGTGTACAAGCAGCCTGGTTCTTTGAATTGTGTAAAATGCTCTTGGTATTCTGGTGTATATTCAGTGAGCCGCCGCACAGAAAAACATCAAAACGTTTTAATTTAATAAAACAACTGGACGTGTCGTCTGTAGTTGAAGCAGATTAATCTGAATGTAGCTAAACAAACGGAGCATTTAGACCAGTTTAAAGCTTGGAACTAGAGATGCCTGATATTGGATTTTTGGCCGATTTCCGACATGCCAATATGTTAACGCTTATTTGGCCGATAACCGATACCAATACTGATATTTTTCCCCCCTAGACCTACTTACAGAGTCTACATAGCTTTCTCTGCTTGGAATTAAAACACTACATTATTCTGCATGGTCTTTGTCAGTTTGACCTGCTACCAAATGCAGATGCCAAAAATGGGGCTGAAAATGATGTAACGCTTCAACTTGGATTATGTTTAATGTCAAAATTAGCCGTGACATTTAATCTCTCTAACACATGACAACGCTCGAACAGTGCAAATTTGTAAATTTTCACAAATCTAAATTCAACGGCACGCGTGACGTCATAACGTTGTGCTGGCGTTGCAGACATCCTTGTCACTGGATTGTCATATATATGTTGTTATAATATATGTATAACATATATATATATAAACAGCACCTTTTATATCGGTTTGTTATTTTGATGGAATGGCCGATGTCCGATATTTAACTTTATCGCCAATATCGGCTGATACCGATACCATGCCGATAATATCGTGCATCTCTACTTGGAACAACACACTCTCCTGTTTTGAATTGAGAAAAGGCTCCCGATGGGAAGAGAAACACCTTCAATTCAAGTAAATGGTAAATGGACTGTACTTAAAGCACCTTTCTATCTTATTTCAAGATACTCAAAGCACTTTACACTACCATCTGTGCCTCATTGACCCGTTCATACAGCACTCTACTAGATCTCTGCAAAGCTAATTGAACCAATCACTCTAAAGAGACTAATCACACATCGGAGGCACTGAGGGTTCAGTGTCTTGTCCAGGGACACTTCAACATGACTGCTGGTGGACTCAAACCCCCCAGCATTGGAGAGCGATTGCTTAACCACTCAGCCACAGCCGTCCACTTCTACTCTTAAGAACAGAAGTCATGTCTTTTTTTGGGGGGGGGGTTGCTCTTGATCAACAGTTCTCCATCCTTTCTTTAAGCACCACTTTAACGATTTTCTTTGGGCGTCAGCTGCTTTTTCTTTCATTTCCTGTCCTTTAACTGATCCTGACACCATCTCGTCTCCGTGTCCCTGTGATGGACATGAGACCTGTCCAGGGGGTGCCGTCTCTTCCACAGTGACT